GACCTGCAGTTTCTAAACCCTCATGTATCAGCAGAGTCGGATGTAAGAATAGGCCATCCGATTTTCATAAAGTGGCAGTTAAGCTATTTCCTTTATGTTAAGATATTTCCTTTCCTACGAAGGCATATTAAGAAAGCGCGAGAAATACTTTATATATTACCCCTTTTAAATGCCCATTGGGGTTTTGTTTTAAGGGACCCAGTTCCGAAATCTTAGGTGTGGAGAATCATCATCCACCACCTTTTTAGTTCGGGCGCCACTGTAGAGACATTAGGTTATTTGGAAGGAGGAGAGGTGAAAAATGAGCAACGCTCTCGCCGAGAATCGAACCAGGGACCTCTGGAATACGCACCCAGCGTACAGACCACTATACTCTCGAAGGCATGCTAAGAAGGCGGGAGAAATACCTTATAGTTTAAAATCTGATTTTTTATTAGTTTCATTGTAGTTTAAATCGAACGTGAAAAACGGACCAAAAATTCTATAATTGGAATTAATTTACAGTGTGACATACAGTGAATGGACAAAAATATGGAAACACCTTGTAAAATGCATGTTTGAAAAGAAAGATTGGTTTTAATGAAATATGTAGGTGGTGCTGGCGTTTTGACTACTGACGCCACCTATACAACTTCGTAAATGTGCTAAACAGTTCAGTTGTTGTCGAAGTACTGTTATGTGAGGTTGTCATTGCATTATGTCAGAGTTAACAGACTTCGAACGTGGGCAAATTGTTGGAGCACGTATGGTAGGTGCTTCCGTAAGCAAGGTAGCCGAGGTGTTTAGTGTTTCAAGAGGTGCTGTATCGAAGATTTATTCCGCATATTTGAAAAGCGGAAAAACATCATCTGCTAAATCACAGCGCGGACGAAAGTGTGTCCTGAGTGATCGTGACAGACGATCATTAAGGGCAATTGTGACGAAAAATAAGAACACCACAGCTGCAAAAGTTACTGCTGAAATGAATGTTGTGTTACCGAACCCTGTGAGTACCAAAACAATTAGAAGGGAGCTTCATAAACAGGGAATTGCTGGCCATGCTGCAATTGAGAAGCCACTCATCAGTGATGCTAATGCCCGTAACAAGAAAAGGTGTTGTTTAAGTCATAAAGCATGGACTATAGAGCAGTGGAAGCGAGTAATATGGTCTGACGAGTCTTCTTTCACATTGTTTCCCACTTCTGGCCGAGTTTACGTCTGGAGTACGCCATCTCAAGCCTATAATGCAGACTGCTTGTTGCCAAGAGTGAAACATGGCGGGGGTTCTGTTATGGTTTGGGCAGCCACATCGGGGTTCTCTGCTAGCCCCATGATAACTGTGTCAGGGCACATGACTGCCAAGACTTATGTGAACATTTTGGCCGATCAAGTTCATCCCATGGTACAAACTTTGTTCCCCGATGGTGATGGTGTCTTCCAAGACGACAAAGTCCCTGTTCACACAGCTCACATTGTCCAGGACTGGTTTTCTGAGCACGAGGATGAGTTGTCCCATCTCCCCTGGCCACCACAGTCACCAGACCTGAATATTATCGAACCTTTGTGGTCTACATTGGAACGGAAAGTGCGTTCTCGTTATCCACCGCCAACATCGTTATCTGACCTTGCCACCGTTTTGCAGGAAGAATGGTATAATATTCCCTTGGCAAACATACAGGAACTGTATTTATCCATTCCGAGAAGACTGCAAGCTGCTTTGAATGCCAATGGGTTTCCTACAGCATATTAAGCAAAGAAACATGTTTTTTTAAAGGTGTTTCCATATTTTTGTCCAACCCCTGTAAATATTATCCAACAATTTGAAGATACAGATCTGGTTAACTTTTTTTCGTACAAGTTAAAAAATAAATACGCTCAGTTACGAATTTTTGCACTAAGATTATCCGTTTGTTTGAGAATACATTTATATGTGAACAACGTTTTCTCTTCGCTTCGGATAAACTAATACGAACTAACTGAGACTGGTAAGACTGATAAGCATCTGCGATCCGTGATCCTTCCGTAGTTCTTCTCTAAGGTTACAATCTGTATCCAAATCGAAACGCGATCAAGTGTCAAGCTGTAGTAAGGAATAAAAAAGTTTATAAAGTATTTACATACAAGCAATGTATATTTCTGATTATGCGTCAAAGAAAAATTTAATAAATAAAAGAAAGACACTAAGTCGTCATTATTTATTCTCAAGTTTTATACAACTCGGAAAGTTTTCATGATTTGCTTAATTTTTAGTTTAAATTAAAGTAAATAATTTAATAATTAATAAAATATATTAGAATCATTTGAAAAAAATGCCAATCCGACAACTTAATGTTTAGCTGCCAGTATGTTTGAACTACATAATGTAACCGACAAAAATTTGTGCAGGTACCAAACTTTAGATTCCAGATAGAAGATAAGCATAAATTTGAATTTTTTCCCCTTCGCATTATTATTCTTGTAGTTGTTTATATATATTCTAATAAATATTAAGTAAGCGAAATTTAAAGTTCAGTTAAAATATTTTCTATTTTGGTGACAAAAATTTTCGTTTTGTTAAAAAAAAAAAAAAAAAAAAAAAATTGAATTTTTTCAGATTTTACATTACGCCCAAAGGGGCAATTTTTAACGTTTTGTGGGTTATCTTTATTTATTAAATATTGTATTCTTCGCACTTAAACTATAAAATTCAATTGAACAGCAATATCGTAAAATAATTTTAAATTGAGCATATCTTTAGAATTTTCGATACACAGTCTCGCACGCTGGAGATAATTTTTTTTCCCTTACAGTATTCACATTACTCGCTTTGAAATCGTTTAGTTTTTTAATCAAAAATTCGTTAATGTGTTACAAAATCTGAAATCTATAATAAAATAAATTTCAAATTTAAATTAGGCCATATTCTTCCATATTCTATGGAAGATTACGCTATTCAAATTTTTATGGCTCTAGGTACTGTTGCTTTATCACAATGCGAGAAACATACATACCTTTATGCAGATTCTTCATTATTTAATTTCTTTAAATATAATACATGGCTGTAATATGAGTGTATCCCCAATGTATTGCAATGTATTACATGGATGTAATATTTGGTGGCAACAGTGTGAAAATTGAACCGATAGTTAAAGTTTTCACCGCAAAATACCGAAACAAAATTAATAACCCTTCTGGGCTGAGACCGTTTGGGCTATGAAAAAAAGAATTCTTGCCTATCAGCTGTTTTGAGGTCCTGCATTTGGTCCTCATGCAATTTGAGTTCGACACCACTGGACTTAAGCGCCGGAACTTCTGAAGATGGGGTTTGTGTATTAATCCGTGAAACTTCATCTAAAAGTTTAATTATATGTTATATGTTTAATTATATGCTGATATTTTTATTACTCAGTAAGTAAAATAACACTTAGTCCTTCACGAAGGCATCTCTGCCCTTAGTCTTCGAGTGCTTTTTCATAACTAAATAAACGAAACCAAACCAAAATAACAAAGAATAATGTTGTTAAAATACAGCCGTGTACTGAATTTTTATAAGTACCGTTTGACTACTACTTTAGCCTGAAAACAAATATCTATGCACGCACTACAAACGTGCAACACGAGGCTTACAAAAATAAGTTAATTAAATATTACATACATTAATAAAACAAACACTCAGCCTACATAGCCTTTTAAATTGTTCTGCAGGCGTAATCTAGGGATGTCAAAAAAGTAGGACAAGAGAAAATTGTACGTTTCTCATCTTCAGGTAATTTTTTTTGAACACTCACACAAGTTACTTGATCTTAGTATGAAACGAAACAGGTAAGTTCTAGCTTGATTATCTGTTATTATTGTAACGGATAAATTAGTTAAAATTTCGTCGAATATCCGTAACATATCCGAACTCATAGATAATGTTGAAGCAGCTTTTCTTTTATGTGCATTTATTTACTCATTTTTAAATAATTACCTCAATCTGATGTTTAGACATTAAAAAAAAACTTAATATCCTACCTACATTTACGAGAAATATTTATTAGTATTTGCGTATGTTATGTAAGCTAAATCAAACAGTTCTGTCCATTATGACTTTCGGAAACTCTTTATTAATTAAAATAATGTTGTGAATGCTCATTATTATTAATGGTGTGTATTTAAGTTAGACATGCTCGAAATGTTATTATTAGATGTGTTATTAAAAGAAAAAAAAAATAAAGTTTTAGAGTATTAAGAATTGCTTTTATTGCTTTTAAAATCGCTCAGATTTTTAAACAGTTACAGACTAATTAAATATGCTGCTAGAAAACTGCAGATGTTATATAATTTCAAATAGTATTACTCTGGAAAACTGGATATTTGAGACCGCGTGTAACGTAAATAAAATTGTTATATTTCGCTTAATGGTAACATTTGCCAAGGTGCGTGTGTGATAAATGCATCATAGCTTAACGTAATGAACGTAAGGCTACAAAAATTTGGTAAACTCAAATGAAAATGTTTATAAATATCATCCAGAATTTAAGTAATTGATATTTTTTGTTAACAGTTTTTTTTTCTAGTACAAGTTACACATATAATATATATTACTATATATATATGGCTTTGAAAGTCCAATATTCCATAATTTTTACGTTAAGTGTTATTAACGCATTTCGATTTTAATTTCACTGTAGATAAAGTATAATTATTCCCACGGTATTCGCTAGGCGAGATCTCTGTTAGTGAGTATTATTTAATAGAAGTGAGGAAATGTGTTAAAGGAAGCTTTCTTCTATTATGCCGTGCATTCGAAAATCAAAGCTAAATACTATACTTTAGGAAATTATCACAATTACATTATTACTTTAGGAAATTACATTATCAATGAGGCTCATCAGGAGCAAACGCTATTCTTTATCTCTTGATGAATCTGTATTTATTAACGATGTTTAAACTTAATTATGTCTCTAGCCATAAAATTTATTAAGAAGTATACAACTAACATACATATCTTGAGACACCCATTTAATTACTAACTCATCGAATTTTCGATATGACTGTAGGATAGACATCTTTGCTTTTGACATCCACGCCGGGCCAATAGCAGGAAGGAAGTCTGCCTTTGGGACATCCATTGTATCATGACGCATGATCGCCTTTCATCACGCATCTTGGAAGCTTGATGGAATACTTAGTGCCCTTTAACGGACGGCTTGTCTACTTTGATGGATCGAAGGAGGTACAGCGAATGTGTTCTCTGCTTGTGCGACATACTTCAGCATAATAGCCTTTCTTTCGAATGTGTATTGTTTTATTAAAGGGTGGCTTTGGATGGAATACTGCCTTTTTTATTTCCTATTTCCTTTTCGAAGGACTTTGCCTGCATTGAAAACGATAGCATCATGAATCATCTACCGACAAGATTAGATTGTCAGTTTTAACAGCAATAAATTTAGCAGATAGCAGAAGTAATGTCAAGAGTCAGTAGAACGGATAAATTAGAAAAGCAACATAAAAGTGATCTGCAGTAAATTGCTTTTAGGAGCTAATAGTTCTATCTCTAGAAATCTACCAAGGACCGAGAAGTTATCTATAGGAATAGATATTTTTCTTAAAAATCATTCTTGCTTTATACTTTTATCCGATATTGCTGTTACACATAATTTTTAAAGTTTTCGTGTTATCAGAGAGGTACCTTATTTCAAGTAATGATAAAATTTTAATTTGAAATTTAATTGTGAAAGAATTTTTTTTCCGATGTAAAACTAACAGATTGTTGTTTACAACTCAATAATGCTTACATTCATTTTGGTGACTCTCAGTTTAATGGGCGAAACAACAACGTAAAAAATACCATATAGCTGTTGCTATACATTGTTATTGTCGGCACAATATTCAAGGGCTCATCTAATCTAGACTTTCTGTATCTATTCATCTGTTTCATCTCCCTAGTTTTAAAAGGCATCTACCCACCTATTTGTTTTCCATGATATCTATGACACTTTTAAAACGGAAAACAAAACGTATTTCTCAGAACTTAGAACTTGGGAAATATTTAGAAACAACTAGAAGTTTCCTTCTGAATCCAGAGTTTATTGCTAAGAACATAATTATAAAATTTCAGAAAAATAGCTATGTTCTATCGAAGGAAATACTTCACTAAAGGTATTTCTAAGTTGGGTTAAATTAATAAAATAAAGCAAAGCACACGGCGGCATCTGCCTTACGGGAGGAATGTTTTCATGGAATACTTTTTACGGGAAATTAAATGGTATTTATGTCACACATGAAGAAAACATAGGTCAGTAAATAAATAAAGTTATAACTGTTACCAACACTAATGGCGCTTACTTATATTAGTGATAGAAATGCAGAAGCAAAGGGAGTAATATTTTCTTTTGAGGAAACTAGGAGTCAGTGACATTACACAAAAGCACCTTGTAGTATAGTGGAGACAACCACAAAAACGCCATTTTTCAGGAAATAGCTGCGATTGAACTTCCAGTGTTTACAGAGCTCTCATCCATTCGGCTATTGCTGAGCGGGTACTTCTATTGGGGGGTGGAAACTGGGTCACTCTTGCAGCTAAATTCACAGAAATATCGGATTACTGTAAAAATATTTTATATTGATTAAAACATTTAATGCCTTTGCTTCGAGCTAATTGTAACCTCAACGATATAAATAACAAGCTTGGTGTATCTTTTATGTACCCTAAAGTTGTATAACATTCTTGAAAGAATTATAGATATGGAGGTCTCATACTTAAGAATGAACCTTAGTTAAGATTTAAGAATTAAAATTCAGATATTACTCAGGTGTTTTCTTCAAACTGAGGTCAGCCTAAACTTATCCTTGAATTGAAATTAACGAAGTTGAATAATAAATCTGATAATGCAAATTTAAAAACAATTTGATTATTTAGCCAGGAAAATAATCTTTCCAATTCCAGCTGGAGGCTAGTTCTTTATCAGTTCTTGTCCCAAAAATTAATGCTTTTCTCTTTTAAAAATTCAAGGGGGCGTAATCGATGTGCGTTCGAATCATTATTGCCAGAACATAGGTGTAATATTAGCTTACAGTACAGGACAAATTTGCTACTTATTCAGTTTTATATTTTAGTTCATTCCGCTCAGCCGGTATGGTAGTGACCTTCACTGCCGTAGCTATGGGCCTGGGCTGGATTCCCAAAGAAAGCATGATTGTAACTGTCCGTCCGTTCATAGGAGCAACAGTGACAACCTATTAAATGCTTTCATGAAATGGCCACCAATTTCGGCGCTTGTAGAGGCGCAAGGCTACTGGCTATTAAATAAAGCGCCCGGCCATTTAAAAAAATATATATACAGGGTGATTATAATTAAAGTTTAAGTTTCAAAACGCTATAAAAAAAGAACCACTCATGAAAATGACGTCAAATTTGAAAGGAATGTTATTGAAGAAGGCGGAAAGCGTATGGCAGAAGAAAAAAATTAGTTTCAAAAGTTAGCAACAGATGGCGCTGCAAGCGGAAGAAGACGTAAATTAAAATGTCAGTTAAATTTCAGTGTTATAAAGCCGCCAGGTACCAAGCTGTTCCTCTTCACCTCATTCTCTTAACTCCTACCACGTCAGACTTCCTACCGTCATGTGCCTACTGGGCTGTCCTTATGAGCTGGAAACAGCGCGCTTCGCGCGCTACTCCAGCCATACTTGTTCGGATCGGCTGTTCCTCATTTCGCGTCTTAGACGTTCGCCATGGGTGTTTCACTGCAGGACCGCGCTCTGCTGGTAAAGCTGTATTACAAGAATGATGATTGTGCAAGAGTAGCTCTGCAAAAATTCAGGACACTGAAGGGTATAAAAGAAGGCGTTGGTCCAATGAGTGTCGTAGGTCTAAGAAAATGATGCAAAAATTCGAAACGACAGGTTCGTTTGATGTGCAATCTGGTAGAGGGAGAAAACGAGTGCATTCGACGGTAGTTGAAGAAGTGGCCACAGCATTACAGGAGGGGTCGGCCGGTGGTGTGCAACCGTGCAGTGCACGAGGAATTGCCCGAACACTGGACAGGACTACGAGCACTGTGCTGAAAATTGTACGAAACATTCTGCAATGCTATCCGTACAAAATTGGCCATGTGCAGGAGTTGCTTCCGTCTGACCTGACAGCTAGGGAGACGTTTGCGTTAGAATTCCTGGCTCGCATGGAAGTGGATAATGAATGGCCGTGGAAAATTTTGTGGACAGATGAAGCCCATTTCCATCTGACAGGATACGTGAATACCCAGAATTGTCAAATATGGGCAACAGAAAATCCATTGGCAACGCACCCCGTACCACTTCATCCTGAAAAGGTCACGGTATGGTGTGGCTTTACGGCATCATTCATCCTACAACCATATTTTTCGAGCAGACGGGTGCTTGCAGTCCTGTTACCGCAACCGTCACTGGTCAGAGGTATGCGTCTCTTTTTGCGCAACCACGTGGATGTGTGGATGAAATCATTTTTATGCAAGATGGCGCTCCTCCGCACATTGCACATCCCGTGAAGCAGCTGCTGAGGCTCCATTTCGGAAATGCTCGAATTATCAGCCGTCATTTCCCTACAAGCTGGCCGTTCCGATCGCCTGATCTTACTCCGTGTGATTTCTGGCTGTGGGGATATCTGAAGGATGTTGTGTTCCGCGCTCCAATTGCAAATTTAGCGGAATTAAAGGCACGCATTTCGCAACACATTCTGAACATCACCCCGGAGACATTGCGATCAGTTGTGGAACATGCTGTTTGTCGCTTTCAACTTGTTGCACACTACGGTGGACACCATATTGAACATGTTTTGCGCCAGTCTCGCGACAGTTACGAACTTCTTTGATGAATGGTTCTTATGCGGTATGTCGCCGCAAAACTCTTGAAACCGATTTGTCCCTTTCGATGTGATATGTACAGTCATGCAAATAAAATTATTCAACAAGTCTAACTTGTCAATGCGTTTTAATGTGTAACATCCACCTTAGCCGTTGTTTTACGAATCATTTCTCGTTTCTCGTCGTGATTCTGCTGCTTACAGCGCCATCTGTTGCTAACTTTTGAAACTAAATTTTTTCTTCTGCCATACGCTTTCCGCCTTCTTCAATAACATTCCTTTCAAATTTCACATCATTTTCATCAGTGGTTCTTTTTTTATAGCGTTTTGAAACTTAAACTTTAATTATAATCACCCTGTATTTTAGTTCATTAATTAATGCATTTCACACATGAAATAGGAAAACGTCATGTTAGCAGCGCGCAAAGTAATGAGATTTTTCATATTTTTCAAAGCATTTTGCACTTCGTCTTGGGCAATTACATTTTGTATAGAAACAGCAGCCTGCTCTAGCCTTTCCATTGCTTAAAGAAAGGGACGGGTGAGTATTTTTTGTAATCCCAGTTTCATTTCAAAGGAATACATTGCTTATTTAATTCGGTGAACAGTAGTAGCAGAAATTAGGAGCCATCACTAACTAGAACTTTCATTTATACGGGCGGAACAGGGTTTCGTATCGATACAGCTAAGTTCAACTCAGACAGTATATTTTGCGATGTATTTTGATATTCACCGTAGGACTGGTTCTCCAAATCTTGTGAGGATGGCCTTCTGTCATCTCGTTCGAGAGTCCAGTTCGAGGAACACTGGTGGTATGGTGGCTATGATTATTGGAATATTGCAAAAAATGCAATGGATTTCCTCCTAAAAGAAAGGCTACGTTCGTGTAGAACCTTCTATGGAAAACAGGCCAGTATTTTCACATTAACACAAGGATAAAAATACGAAACCCCACCATGTAGGAAACCTATTCGTTTGGGATCGAACCCCGGTCCAACTCTCAGTGCTCAGCGGTCTTAACCATTCGGCCAGGGGTGGCGACGTTAGTTGCGTGATAGAACAGTATTTCTCAACCGCTAAATGAGGTTACGAGGCAAATGATGGATCGTGTATCCCTTGAGATGTGCCTCGAAATTTTCAAATTTAAATAGTTTTTTTAAAAAAGATTCTCTTCTTGTTTTCACATTATACTTCTGAATTTAAGTAGGTCCTGAGATGTAAATAGTGATATCTAAACAAATAAAACAACTGACGCTTCTTTAAAATGATTTTGTATTGGATTATCAACCAAAAACTATCCGTTAAACTCGGAAAGCGCAGCAAGAACAGGCTTTAAATTAATTGGTACATTTGACTAGTTGTCTGAAAAAAAAAATATATACTGTGTTTATATGCTTAAACTGCATTTTAGGTTTTGATCAAAAATAACTCTTCTCGAAATAAAATTTAAGAATTTTGTACCAGTTTTCCATCAATATTCTCTGAAGAA